GGCCCAGATGGATTCACATAAGAATTTTACCAGACCATCAAAGAAGATCTGCAACCAACACTGCTTAAATTATTTAAAAAGATAGAAACAGAGGGAGAACTCCTAAACTCCTATGATGCTAGTATTACGCTAATAACAAAACCAGGAAAAGAAACTTTATAGGCCCATATCCTGAATGAACATAGATGCAAAAATTCTCAACAAAATGCTCACAAATCACATACAGATACACATCAAAAAGATTATCCACCATGATCAAGTTGGCTTTATTCCAGAGATGCCAGGATGAGTCAATATTCTTAAGTCAATAAACATAATATAACATATAAGGGGACATAAAGACAAAAATCACATGATGATCTCAATAGAAAAGGCCATGGACAAAATCCAATTTGCATTTTTGACAAAAGTTGTAGAAGGAATTAAACTGGAGGGAACATATCCCAACATAATTAAGGCTCTATACAACAAACCCACATCCAGTATCATTCTAAATGAAGAAAAACTTGAAGCAATCCCATTAAAATCAGAAACCAGACAAGGCTGATGGTAGTCACACCTCTTGCCCCTTAAGGACAATAGTGCTCTGTTCACAAATAGTTAACAGGCTCCTGGCACTCAGCTCACTAACAGGCTTTGCTGATGTGGAGGCTTGAGGTGTGGGAGGAGAGTTTGCTCCCAGGATGCTGACCACAAGACAGCTGTTTTCTGGAACACTGGGGAATAGGTTGTCATGCCCCTGTCTTTGCATACATCAAAGGAGGTCTGTTACTGGGCCAGGCACCACAGCCCCGAGCACACTGTGCTGTTTTCTCACTATTGTAATGGAAACATTCCTTTGTGTTTTGCACTGCTTGAATACTTATCAAATGTGAACTTCTAACTCTGATCTCCCAGAGCTTCCAATAAAGACTCACAGGAGGGCAGTGAAAGTGCTCTTGAGTGGCACAAGCCACTCTCAGTATTTGAGAATGGATGCTGTGGTGGGCATCTGCAGCTGCCAGCTATCCTCACTCCTTTTCAATACAGTGATTCACAGTCTAGCTACAGCAGTAAGAGAAGGAAATCAAAGGAGTACTAATTAGAAAAAAAGGTCACATTATGATATTATACATAAGAGACCCAAAAAGAACTTTTAGAAATGATCAACACTTTCAGCAAAGTGACAGGTTACAAAATCAATCCACAAAAAATCAGAGAAAGAGTTCAGGTAAATAATTCCATTTACAACGGCCTCAAAAATATATTTATATACACAAATATGTATGTATTAAACATTTATTTTATATTTTTAAAATATTTTACATTTTAAAAATATTTTATTATTTTTATTTTATGTGTATGAGTGTACTGCTTGCATGTATCTAAGTGCACCTGTATTGTGCAATACCCATGGAGGTCAGAAGAGGGCATCAGATTCCCTGGAACTGGAGTTATAGACAGTTATTAGCTACCATGTGGGTGCTGAGAACCAAACCTGGGTCCTCTGCAAGAGCAGACAGTGCTCTTAACTGCTGAGCCATCTCTCCAGTTCTTCAATGTAAACTTTAAATCTTTGAAGAAAGAGATTGAGGAAGACACAAGGAGCTGGAAGGACCACCCATGCTCACGGACTGGTAGAATATACTATAAATGACCATCTTACCAATAGCAATCTACAGATTCAATGCAATCCTAATCAAAATCCCTGTGACATTCTTCACAGAAAGAGAAAAATCCATCCTAAAATTTATATGGAAACACAAAAGACCCTGGGACAGCCAAAGCAACCTTGAGTACAAACAGCAGTGCCAAGGGAGTATTGTGCCAGACCTCAATCTGCATCACAGAGCTATAGTCATAAAAACTGCATGATATTAGCACATGAACAGACTTATAGATCAATGGAAGGAAATAGAAGACCCAAACATGAGTGCACACAATTACAGCCACCTGATATTTGACAAGTGTCAAGAACAGACACAAGGAAAGTCAGGACAACAAGAGTGCACTATTAGTAATATCAAGTTTTGTTTTATTTAGAAACATCTTTATTTTTCCTCATCTTTGACAGATAGATTCACTGGCTATTTAATCCTAGGTGGACATAGCATTTGTTTGTTTGTTTTTTGTTTTGTTTTGTTTTGTTTTGTTTCCTCAGCACTATGAAGATAACATTCCACTGTCTTTGGGCTTCAATTATTATGAATAAAAAGTCTATTGTTTTGGGGGGGGTTGTTTTGGTTTTTGGTTTTTTTGAGACAGGGTTTCCCTGTAGTCCCTGCTGGCCTGTAACTCATTATTTGGACCAGGTTGGCCTTGAACTCACAGAGATCAGCCTGCCTTAGCCTCCCAAGTGCTAGGATTAAAGGCATATGCCACCACATGGGATTGTAAAAAGTCTATTGTTATTTCAAGATCCTGGATACTAATACCATTCTCCAATTAAACCCAAAAATCAGAAAACAGTGCTCCTTGGAAAACATGTTAAGTCTAGGACAGAGGCCAGAGATAAACAGGACGATGCCAGAATATCTTGTAATGTTGCAAAGGAAAGGAAAGGATATCCTTAACTTATTACAGGGCTTGGTGGTGGACTCCTATAATCCCAGCACTTGGAATAAAGAGGCTAGCCTGGGCTATATCCCAAAACTCTGTCTCAAAACACAAAAAGCAAAAACAGGAGTTGCAGGGTTTAGGGACCAAAAACTTACCTCTGACCCAATGCCTAGTATTCTTGCCACCAGATTTTCTCTCCTTTCCTTTTAGGGCCACTAGATTGTTGGAAGCTTTCAGCAGAAAACACCAACTCTACTGTCGGTTCTTGAAGAATCCTACTTTTCCTTCTTGTTTGTGTTTTAAGACAGGGTCTCATGTAGCCCAAGTTGACCCCAAACTGGGGGGTTTCATGGGGCTTAATGGGAGCTACTGCTGTTGTTTTGCTAAATGGATATGATGCGCTTGTCAAACTGCCATGTTTGTAACTGTATCTGTGTCCACAGTGTAGTGCTGCAGTCAGGTCTAGTTAGTAAAGTTTCTTTCTGCAGCAGGCAGTGGTTAATGCAAAATCATAACTGCTCAGTGATGAGAGCACTTGATTGTTGAGTGCTGAGCTACAAAAGGGACATCTCTATCATCCCCTCCAAGGTTTGGGGAAATTATAGAAGAGCAGAAGGAAAGAATGCAGAGCCAGAGGAAGGGGTGGGGTGTTGCTGAATGCTGTTTTCTGGGCACAGCATAGCCATAGCTGTTGCACTCATGAACTCACAGCAGCGTGAATACCTTCACATATGGAAACACAAAAGACCCCGCATGGCCAAAGCAATCCTGAGCATAAAGAGCAATGCCAGGGGGAGTACCGTACCAGACTTCAATCTGTATTACAGAGCTATAGCCATATTGTTGAAGCCATCAACATCCCGTCATGCAGAGGGCAGGGCTCAGTGAAGCGCCACCCCTCCCTGAGTATCCACAGGCTCTTAATGGTTGCTGGGAGAGCAAAAGACATTTTCTGTAGTGGTGTAGTCACTGAGAAGGTACCCATCCTCCTGTAACAATCCCTCCCCCAATGAAACACACAGGGTCAGCACTCTAGCCCCCCAAGCAGTAAAAGACACAGAAGTAGGAGAAACTAGTTGGGAAGAGGAAAGGGATCAGTGGAGTGAGGGGAACAGGAGAGGTTGACGGGCATCTACAAGATGAAAATGCACCACATACATCTGTGCAAATGCTGTAATGAAACCCTATTATATATAGTTAATCCATGCTGATAGAAAACACTTAAAATGAAAGTGAAATAAGACTTCCACAGATAAAAACTCGGGAGTTTATTAGCAGTAGAAACGTTTTATAAGAAGTGTTAAAAGACATTCTTAGAAATGGGACATAATGTAGGTAAGAAACTTAGAGCTGCACAAAGTAAAAGAGAAATATAAAGATAAAATAAAAACTTCACTTAGTCTAAGAAATAACACTGGGCTCAAAATATCACCAGTAAGGTATATGATGATCATATGTTATCTGTTTAAGTGCAATAAAAGGCATCAATGACATAGAGATGTGAGGGAAGAATGAGGGCTATTTTACTGTTCTAAGGTAACTTCACTACCCATGAAGCAGTTCAAGGGATATTTGTAGGTGAGCGTGAAGTAGATGTAAATGTACTACAAACTCTAGGATAACTACTAAAAATTCATAGCGTATTTTTTTCCTTGTTTGCTTTTCTATTGCTGTAATAAAATGCTGACAAAAACAAACTTGGGGAGGAAAGTTTACAAGTTACAGTCCATCCATTCTTGAGGGAATTCAAGGTAGGAACCGAAGCAGAGACCATGGAGGAATGCTGCTTACTGGCTCCCTACCTCTGCTCTGATACCTTTCTTATACAGCCCAGGCCCACCTGCCTAGGGATGTCAGAACCCACAGTGGGCTGGGCCCTTCCACATCAAACAGCAATTAATGAAATGCATCAAAGCCATAGCCATAGGACAATCTGGTAGAGGGAATGCCTCAGCTGAGGCTCCCTCTTCCCAATTGACTTTAGTTTGTGTCAAGTTGATAAAAACAAACCAACACAATATCCTAAGAAGAGTAAGAAAATAGAATCAGTCGATCACGTAAAACAATCAACTAAAATATCAACAAGGAAAGAAAAGAATAGAAGACATAGTAACAAATATGGTAGATTTCAATCCAATCACATTTTCATCACTTTAAGTATCAATGACTTAAATACATTAACTAAAAATAAGAGATTGTCAAAAAACAAGACTTGCAAACTGGAGATGTAGTTTAGTCAGTAGAGTGTTTGTCTAGCATGAATGAAGCTCTAGCTTTGATCCCCAGTACTGTATACCCTGCATATGGTAGTGCACGACTGTGATCCCAGCACTCAGAAAGTAGTGGCAAGGGGATCAGATGTCTAAGGCCATCATCAGCTACACAGTATGTTCAAGGCCAACCTGGGCTACATAAGTCTATGTCTCAGAAACGTAAATAAACAAGAAACAAACAAATCTTACCAGGCAAGGTAGCCTAAATCTGTAATCCCGACACTCAGAAAGCTGAGGCAGAAGGATCACTATTTCAAGGCTAGCTTGGGTCATCAGCAAATTCCAGGTCTGGCTACACAGTTAGAGCCTGTCTCAAAACAAAATACAAAGAAATAAAAAGTATGACTCAACTATATGTTAAATAAAAGAAATCCACTTTATATAAAGATACATCCACAATAAAAATATTCCTTTAAAATAAAAATGAAAACTATCCCAGGCTAATACTAACCAAAATAAAGCAGAAATAGCTATAATAACTGCAGACAGAGCAGATCACAAACTTCAAAACTAAGTTATTGGTGACAAAGGGGTGGTGGCACTACATAATGATAAAAAATCACTTTTCTGAGAAGGCATAGCAACCCCTAGTGTGTACCTGAAAACAGTAAATTATGTAAAGAAAGTGTTATGGAGTAGTCTGGGGACTGCCTAGCACTGCTGCCAAGTCTGAGGACCTGAATTTGGTCACCCAGATCCACATGGAAGCGAAAGAGAACTGACTCCTCAAAGCTGTCCTCTGACTGTCACATGCGCACAACTCCCACAGAGACACAGACACAGATATACATACAGACTAATATATGTTAAAAAAAACTGTAAGAATAAACAGACAAATCCTTTTGTAACTGAAGAATTAAACATTCCTCTATCAGAAATGGACAAAAATCAGTCAGTATATAAACTCAACCACACAGTCAATCATCTGATGTAACTGAATCTACACGACATCATCACCCACAGTAGAGTATGTATTCTTCTCAAGCTCATATGATACATTCACCAATATAGCACATACTCTGTACACAAAACACCACAAAGTTAAAAGAACAGAAATCACACAAAGTATGTTAATAGACCAGAAGCCAGTGCAGAACGATAAATGGAAAAAGCTACAATATTTAGAACTGAAACAACATAGATTGGAGAAAAAAATTTCAAAAGATTGGACCCATGAATATCCAGTCATGGATAGGAGCGGGGTTGGTGAAGCCCAGACTTCTCTCCGACACCTCAGGAGCCATTGGCCTGATAGCTGCTGTGGAAGGAGTCACTGTCTTCAGTCATGGGTCTGCTTGTGAAGTGCCCATGCCCTGATGGATAGCTCCTGACCCATCCCTGCCCACACAGACCATCTGCTCAAACTGAGTGGGTGACAGTACAAAAACGAATACATCAGAGTGGGAGGGGCACTTGTTGGAAGAGGGGGATGTTGGTGGAGGGGCTAAAAGGTAGGTGTGGCCAGAATGTATTACATGCCTGCATGCAATTGTCAAAGAACTAAAACACAAAGAGAAAGCTTCAATGACAATGTGAAAACATTTAAACTAAGTTAGTATTATGAAAATACAACTTATCAAAATTGGCAGGAAGCAGCAAAAGTAGTGCTTCCCCAGAAACTTGTGCTATGAAATATATCATATTAGGGAAAAAAATCTAATATACCAATAACCTAACTTTCTTCCTTGGGAAAGCAGAGAATATAAATCTCAAGCAAGCAGAAAAAAGAAGAAAGATTGAAAATTAATGAAGTAGGAAAGGGATAGGCATGGTGGCACATGCCATAACCTCAGCTCTCAGGAGGCTGCAAAGCAGGAGGCTTTACAGATCCAAGCCTGCATGAGCTACATAGTGAGGCCTTGTTTCAAAATAAATAAATGTAGTGGTTAATTTCCTATGAAATAAAAGAATATGAAAAGGTACAGTTATGCACAAAGAAGTCAAAAGCATGATGGCGCAGAAAATTACAAAATAAATAAACAAAGCAAACAGAAATGAAAGATACCTTTGAAAAGGGCAAGAAAAACTTTCAGCAAGACTGACCAAGAAAGAGAAAAGGCACAAATGTAGAATGAAAAGGTACTGTAACCACAGACACAGCAGAAAACTAAAATCTTAACATATTACCCTGGAAACTTTTAGAAGGCCAAAAGGCAATTTCATGAAAAATATGCGTACAGTTGACTCAAACGTTAAAATACTTTCCCCCCACACACACACACAAGGCAACTTTAAGGCCTGCAGCTACTATAACATACCAGCATTTTAGAGCCTTCAGCAGAATTGTGAGCAGGGAAGCTAGGCTAGCTAAAAGATGGGCCTTGGAATACCTGCTAGGGAACAGGAGTCAGTTGTAGTAACATGCGGCCACAAAACCATATCCGCCACTGTGCTGCACTCTGCTGCTCTGTTTATGTGGTGCTTTCTAAGACTGATTAGTTAATTCTCAGAAAAGACAGCATCATTAAAATACATTCTTGGTAAGTGGTGAGTTCTGGACTACAGTGAAGGTTATGTGAGCTCCCAATGCAAGCATGGCTTTCTTCCTTGATTAGAAGATACCCAGAAAGGTCTAGCGTGCCTCAGTATATTTCCTTTAAGAGGTCAGACCTGACTGGCTAGACAAGAGAGCATCACTGGGCGCAGCCTCCTGTGGGACCACAGAGCACTGTAAGCTTCTGAGTCTGGCAGGGCCAGAAAGCACTGCTGAACCAGGCCTCCAGTCCCAGCAGTGGCAGAAAAACCCAAGAACACTGAGGCCTCAGAGGCCAACAGCTGCCATTCTCTGCTCTCCCGCACCTCTCCCCTCCCCTCTCTAGTAGGCACCACATGGAACCTACTAGAGTAGAGGGGTCTGAGAATGTCACCCTTCAAATCAGCACAGCTGTTCCAGCAATTCACTCTATACCTATTCTTTCTGTCTCTTCTTTTCTATCATTTGATGTATACCCTTGTATATGGGTCCTTGAAGGAGTTAGGAAGAAAATAAAACATTCCTAGAATTCAGTGGAAATGAAAACACAACATACCAACACCTATGGGATACAAGGAAAGCAATTCTAAGAGGAAGCTGATAGCTGTAAGAGCCTACATTGGGAAATCGGAGAGGTGTCACATGAATAACTCAGTGGTAGACCTTAATGTATTGGAAAAGGGAGAAGAGCCGAACCTCAAGTCAGTAAATGGAAAGAAATCATTAAGAGCAGGGCTTAAGTTAGTGAAATAAAAATGAGAAAATAGAAAAAAATTAATGAAACAAAGAGTTGGTTCTTTGAAAAAATAGATCAGACTGACAAACCCTTCACCAAACTAACCAAAATGAAGAGAAAGAAGATCCAGTTGAGGTGGTGCACACCTTTGGTCCCAGCACTCAGCAGGCAGATGCAGGAGGAGCTCTGTGAGACCAAGGCCAGCCTGGTCTACATAATGAGTTCCAGGCCAGCTGGGGCTACAGTGAGACCATCTCAAAAACAAAACAAAACAAACAGAAAAGAGAAGGAAGATCCAAATTAATAACATTAGACATGAAAAAGGAGGTATTACAAGAAATTTCAATAAAATTAAAAAGATCATCAGGTCTTACCTTGAAAATACATATTCCACTAAATTAGAAATCTAAAAGAAATGGATGGATTTTTTTGATGTATACAACTGCAGAAAAATTCAATAAAAATACATATATTGAAGAAAAAAACTCTCCCAGTGGGCAGCAGCAGGAGGGATTGGACAGAGAGTGGGGCTGCACTGTTTCTAGCTCCACAGACCTGGAAGGAGTTCAGCTGCATGTCCTGGAAGCTCTACCTCAAAGACCCCATGAAGGTACATGTGGTTTTCAAATATAGAAATAGTGATGGGAATTCATGAATCAAAGTAACAAATGATTGAATTTGTTTTGCATATAGAAGACCAAAATGAAGACATAAAGGAGACAGAAATTCCAGTCAACTAATGGGACTTATAGTGGCCAAAGAACTCTGCAGTATCACAGCTGAAACAGAACAGGTTTGAAATGAAGACTGTCACACCATTAGGAAACAAATAGCTTTCGAATTTGAGAAAGTATTGTAAAGAAAATATTTTATGTAACTATATGAGCTACTTTAAAGCTGTAATAGACCAGTTTTTGTATGTTTATCTGCTTTAGAGATCTAGGGATACAAATGCTTTCTGTATGAAAACCTTTATTTTTGGGAATTGAACAAGAAATACCTTAGAACCATTTTTCAGATTATGTGATGTTGAGCAGATGCATAATTGTTTTTCTGATAAATTTGTATTTTTAATTAATTCAGCATAAGTTAATATAAGAAAAATTTTCACTTGGAGGCAGAGGCAGGCAGATCTCTGTGAGATCGAACCCAGTCTGGTCTACATAGCAAGTTCTAGGCCAGCTGGAGCTACAGGGAGACCCTGCCTCAAAAATAAGACAAAAACAAAAACAAAAAACAACAAAAGAAGAAAAAAAATTATAACTTTAGTATGCTTCAGTAGGAAATGCCTGAACATTATAATAACATTAAAATTCATACTCCATTACTACAGTAAATGTTAATGAGAATTTCAAGCATAAAATGTATTATTCTTTTCTATATTATGGTAGCCCCAATATTAGCATCCTAAATTTTCAATATTTGAACTTTTTTTCTATTTATTATTTTTATTTTATGTGTACGAGTATTATGCCTGCATGTAGGTAAGTGCACCCATGTTGTACAATGCCCGCAGACAACAGAAGAGGCTGTTGGATCCCCTGGAACTGGAGTTACGGACAGATGTTAGCTGCCATGTGGGTGCTGGGATTCAAACACAGCTCTTCTGCAAAAACGGTCAGTGTTCTTAACCACTGAGCCATCTTCGCAGCCCCAAATTTGAACATTTTAAACTCTTGACATTGAGACAAGACAACTGGGACACAGCTGTGATTCGAACATGTATGAAACTGGAATATCATAGAAAATTAAGAATATCAGTTCTTGAAAGCTACACGAAGAACTCATGTAAACCATATAAGAACATTGGCTAGAAACAGTCGATAAAAATACCATGTGAAATTGTAAATATTGAAGCTGAATTTCAATATAAACTTACAGGTAAAAAAATCCTTAAAAAACAAAATCCAGGCACAGATAGACTCACTAGGGAATTTTACATTTTAAAGAGCTAATGCTTCTCAACTATCCATAAAATAGGAAAATCAGGAAAACCTCCGGTGTCTTCTCGAAGCTAGTACTAGCCTGATAACAGCAGCTAGTATTACCCTGATAAAGATGCACACACAAAAGAAATAAAATTACCGACCAATTTCCC